TTTTTATAAATTTCTTTTTCACTCATTTTTATTATTTTTAAAAGTAATTTTAAAATTTTATCTCCAATAAAAATTTAAATTTATAACTCATAAACAATACTAAAAAAAATAAAAACTCCAAAAAACTCCACCAAACATATCCGTGTAGATCAAACTCTTAGAGTTGTACTATGAAAATGAATTATTTTTCATCAGGACCTATTGTATTTTTTAATCAATAAAACCTGAAATTAAATTACCTTGTATATTATTTTTATTTTAATTAATGGGTATGCCTACAACTGAAAGGCTTTAAAATTATGAAAGCCTTTTTTCGAGACGGTTGAGCTATGCCTAACAGATGAAGTTATGATTACCTAGAAATTTATCAAGATTACATGATATTATTTAAAAAGTATTAATTTGATATAATTTGGTTGTTAATAATAATTAATAACTAGTAAAATAATTTTTATTTATTACTTAATAAATTAAAATTAATTCATAAAACTGATATTTTTAGGTGTTATAATTTATTTTTTAAAAAAATTAAAAATATCAATCAAATTAAATTATGATTAAACCTTCAATTTGGTCCCTCAATTATTATATGGACCATTGATTTGATTCATAAATTAAAAAAATCTTTAATTTGGTTTCAAATGTTTACCAATTTGATCCCCAATTGATTTTTTCTTATAAAAATAGATGACGTATCTCATTATTAACATGGTACATGACTATTAAATAATAGTTTTTTACTATCAAATAATAAATATGTCAATTATTTTTTAACAAAAAGACCAACTTAAGGTCAAATTGATAAATAATAAAAATTAAATCAAAGATTTTTTTAATTTAAAGATTAAATCAAAAATTTATACAATAATTGAGGAACCAAATTTAAGATTTAACTTTAAATTAATGTAATTTATGTAATCTTGACAAAAATGGTAGTCGCTATAGGTGGGCCCCTCATAGGATGACTACCTTGTCCTTGTTAATAATTTTTTATTATGAAGCCCCACATCAAACTACTAATCACAAGTTCAGACTTCAGAGGAAATGGGAGAGTCATTTATGGGTCCCCCAAGCGTAGACAAATCTTTGTTGTTGACAGCAAAATTATTTGACAATTGGACCCTCAAGTCAAGAATTGGTCCCTCATGAAGGCATACATTAACCATGGACTATGATTCATCAACAGTTGTCACTGAGCTAAGAAAGATTTGAGACTTTGAATAAACATTCCAATTAATTACGTCAACATGCGGGACAAATTGTGTGGCTAATATAGCTTGTTCAATATATGTTAGGTTTACATTTTAGATTATATACCCTAATTATCACATATTCTATTATAAATCCCAATTATCACATTTTCTATTATTTAGCCTTCTAGTACAGAAACCATGAACTGGATATCCTACAAAAATGGTGAGGTTATGCTTTTGTTTCCTTTCTTCCTTTTTCTTGTTTATCCAAAGATGGATTATAAGACTTTTTAGTTGGAATTCAAATCTTAAGATGAATAAGAAAGGTATAAGATAAAAGAAGACTATCTTGAGTTAGATAACCAACACTTTTATAAATAATATAATGTTTATTTGTATGTTACTTAGTTTTCTAAATTAAAGATGTTTTGGTTGCATTAACTCTTGTTTTGAATTACAAAAGAGCCTTGTTGATCCTTGTTGCAGCTGAGGATATTGAAGCTGGCGTCTACAAGAAGAGATTTCAAACAGAACCGACGTTGCCAATATATCTGAAGGTAACAGTTTTTTTTGGACATGCAGGTCTCTCCCCTTCTCTAATCCACAGCCACAGCTTCTACTCACAACCTGAAACCTGTATGCATTGTGTGGATTGATTGGATTATTCATCTACCTGGACAGGCAAAAGGATGCAGAATTATACCGATCAAATGCGATTGCAACCCCATAGAACATGGCTTAGCATAGCATGGTCAGGTTTACTTGTACAGAGTCTCATATTCCATGACATTTATGTACAAGACTCTTCCCTTCTTTCTAGGACTTAAAAACTTGTACAACTAAACAATTTTCAACAAGATTAATCTAGTGTCTCTAGAATCCGCAGTTGGTCTCTAAATGAGGGCCTTTAATTGGAGGAAAGAAGAGTATGGACAATCTGAAACATTCTAACGTTCCTCCTGGATGAGGAAATTTTGATATCATACTAGGATTCTGTGTTTGAACTGTTCCAGGGAAGTTGGTAGCAATTTACTCAATGTCTTACTTTTTCTGTCATGGATTCTGCAGTTTACGGATGTCACGTACAAGGTGATTATAAAAGGAATAACAACTTCACAGGAGAAGGATATTTTGAATGGGATTACCGGTTCTGTAAATCCAGGGGAAGTCCTGGCACTTATGGGACCTTCAGGAAGTGGCAAAACAAGCCTTCTGAATCTACTTGGTGGCAGGTTGATTCAATCTACTGTTGGTGGTTCAATCACATACAATGATCAGCCTTACTCCAAGTGTCTGAAAAGCAGGTAATTTAAGAATCAAATTTTTTTACCCTGAAATTCTTCCAGGGTGTATGAAGATCATAATAACATGAAACATTATGGCAGGATAGGGTTTGTGACTCAGGATGATGTGCTGTTTCCTCACCTGACAGTGAAAGAAACATTGACATATGCAGCTCGCCTCCGGCTGCCAAAGACATTGACAAGACAGGAGAAGGAAAAGAGAGCCATTGATGTCATTTATGAGCTAGGGTTGGAGAGGTAGTGTCTTGCTTTCTCTCTTGCTTTCCTCTTTGATTTGAACACCGAGATTAAGTCGAAAGCAAACACTAATACCATTTGTTGCAGATGTCAAGACACAATGATTGGTGGCTCCTTTGTCAGGGGAGTATCTGGTGGAGAGAGGAAGAGGGTTTGCATCGGTAATGAGATTATCATCAACCCTTCTCTTCTGTTTCTTGATGAACCAACCTCTGGACTTGATTCTACTACTGCTTTAAGGACAGTTCAGATGTTGCAGGACATAGCAGAGGTGTGTGAAGTAAAGAGTTCCTTACAATCTTATCCGATGTCTAAAAGCTGAAGCCAATTATTTATTTCTTACGACTTCTCTCAATCTGATGGCAGGCGGGGAAGACAGTGGTGACAACAATTCACCAGCCATCAAGCAGGCTCTTCCACAAATTTGACAAGCTGATCCTTCTGGGAAAAGGCAGTTTGCTCTACTTTGGAAAGGCATCAGAAGCAATGGTGTATTTCTCATCCATAGGATGTTCCCCTATGATAACCATGAATCCTGCAGAATTCTTGCTAGATCTTGCAAATGGGAACTTAAATGATATTTCTGTACCATCAGAGCTAGAGGATAAAGTGCAGACAGAGAATTCGCAAAGCGAAACAAGGAATGAGAAGCCAACACCAGCTGTTGTGCATGAGGTAATGTACCCATTTCTTCAAGCTTGCTTTGTCATTAACATCGATCATCAGGCTAACCATGCTTTTCTTTGATAGCAGTATCTTGTGGAGGCATATGAGACAAAAGTAGCAGAGAAGGAGAAGAAGAAACTGATGACTCCTCTTCCCCTAGATGAAGGGCTAAAGATGAAAGTGTCTAGTCCAAAGCGGCAATGGGGAGCAACCTGGTGGGAGCAATACTGCATATTATTCACCAGGGGAATCAAAGAACGAAAGCATGATTACTTCAGCTGGTTGAGAGTAACCCAAGTTCTGGCTACTGCAATCGTCTTGGGATTACTGTGGTGGCAATCTGATGGCAAAACTCCAAAGGGCCTGCAAGATCAGGTAAACAACTGATGTCTAGGAATAAATGTCCTTTGACATCTCACCTGGCTCTACTCAACCACTCACTAGAAACTTTACAAATTGCAGGCAGGGCTACTGTTTTTCATTGCTGTCTTTTGGGGATTCTTTCCTGTTTTCACTGCAATCTTCACATTTCCTCAAGAAAGAGCCATGCTAAGTAAAGAAAGAGCAGCAGATATGTATAGGTTAAGTGCATATTTCTTGGCTAGAACTACAAGCGACCTTCCACTGGACCTTGTGTTACCTGTTCTTTTCCTGGTGGTTGTCTACTTCATGGCTGGCTTGAGACACAGTGCTGGACCCTTTTTCTTCAGTTTGCTTATTGTTTTTCTTTGCATAGTTGCAGCTCAGGTATGTAATCACAGCAATTTTCTAACTAAAGAAGAAACCATAAAAAAATCATAACTGACATGACTAACCATGGCTGGCTGCCATGGCAGGGACTTGGACTAGCTATTGGCGCTTCGCTGATGGATTTAAAGAGAGCCACCACATTGGCATCAGTAACTGTGATGACATTCATGCTGGCTGGCGGCTATTTTGTTAAGGTAAGAAAGCAAGTTCCGCTCAGCATTAGAACCTACAGAATGTGTATAAAAAAATTACAACTGAAGTGTGATTGATTTGTTCATGCATATATGACTTGAGTATTGCTTTCAAGCGTTGCTTTCAGTACCTGTCATACATATCCAGGGGTGGATATATCAACTGACAATCTTGAATTTTGCAGAAAGTTCCAATATTCATATCTTGGATCCGCTACATGTCTTTCAACTACCACACCTATAAGCTCCTTCTCAAGGTTCAATATGAGCACATCAGTCCCACTATAAATGGGGCGACAACAGACACTGGCTTGAAGGAAGTAGCTGCCCTAGTAGCAATGGTTTTTGGCTATCGGTTCCTGGCATACCTTTCTTTGCGGAGGATGAAGCTCAACTGTTGAGCTTAAAGATATAAGAATGTTTAAAGAAACATGCATCAGCATTGGCTTCTGCTTGCCATTGCCCAAGAGTGCTTCTGAAAGGCCTGAGCTTTGCATTCATACAAGGAAAATAAGCAAGGAAGGGAACTGGATCTTTCCGTTTTTCACCTGTAAGAATCTGTCTATGCTCGTAATAGGCAGTAGGATAAGTGGATTTTAATATCTGAAGAGCTTTTGCAAATGTTTCTGGAAGATCACAAACTGATTCCATTACTCGGTCTTACTAAATATTGTCTTCTCATTGTAACGAAACATAATTAATTATGAATCTCATCAGAATTTGGGAATAAATTTCTCAATCCAAATAATTGAGATTGAGGGTGCCAAACAGTTTCAAGGTAAATGATCGAATTGATGATTGAACTATATGCTTCAGTCAGAGATATAGTTTCTATATACATTTGTTTCAGCCTTAGAAACAAGTTGAGATAAAACTCAACGAGTCAAAAACTGATTCTTAGCGATTATTTATGAAACACCTCAACTTGTTCTCAGTTGAATTCTAACCTCCCTCAGAAAAACTCAGCAAATTTATTTGTCTCAGCCTGAAAACCAGCAATACAGGAATGCTTGTCTGGCAAAATACTGATATTCTGTCTTGTACTTTTTGATAGAATATCTTATGCCAATGTCCTCAGCCAACCAAGCAAACGAAGGAGAGCAGAATCTAGTACAGGAGACTTCTTCTCAAGACCTATAGAGAAACCAAAGGAAAAGCATTTTTCTTCGCTTCTAATTTTGCTTAGTATAGCTTTAACAGATGTTAAGAAGATCTATTCTTAGATAATACCAAGCCCATTTGGAAAAAAGCCTCTTACCAATATCAGCAGCTACTCGATGAGCGCACATTACTCCTGAAAAAGCAACAGCTATAACACCTTGTCCTGGAAAGCAGCTATCGCCAACACAGTAGAGACCCTCTATTCCCTGAAAATATAGTAAGAACGCATTTAATAATTATGCTTGTAAAGTGATGCCAAAAAAAAAATTATGCTTATAAAGTTAGTGAAAACTAATAATTCCCATAAAAGGGCAAGTACAAGTCACTATTAAACTCACTGTTGTATTAAATGGCATTCCCAATAAGCCCTTGGGAGTTCCACGCGGCATTGGTCCATAAGTACCCTTGTCTCGAGCCAGGTACCTTCTGTGTGTCTTTGGTGTTCCTACCTTTTGACATTTAAGTAGAGAAAACAAATCATGAAGAGCTCATGGTTGCATAAATTTTATGTAGATTGCAGCCTACTGGAAAGAAATCAAGTTCCTTCTCTTTACTACAGAGTATAAAATTTGCATCAAGGAGAAGAATGGGTCCTTAAATACAACAAAACATGTTAAATAAACATGTGGGCTGTGGGCCTAAACGTAACATGAGAACCCAACCCAAAACCATTGGCATTAGGTTGAGTGGCCCATCTATATTTAAAAGTTCTAAACCCACGAGTTCTTTCTTTAATTTCCGGAGTGAGACTTATACCCACTTAACATTTTTCAAATGCACATTCATAGAGGACTAAATTAGAATCATGAAGATAGGCTGTACCTCCTTAAAAACGATGGATGATTTGAGACCTGGAAATAGTTTCTTCTCCAACCTGCTAATGATTTTATCTGCAATCATCTCCTTTTTTGCCTCATAATCCTTTTGAGGAAGTCCCTAATACAGCAAGAAACAGTTCATTACTTATGTTTTAAATGTTAAATGCATCTATAATCCAGCTTAGGTCTCAGACTGGGAGCAGGGAAAAGAAAACGTGGAGTAAGGATTTTGTGCATGGTAACTAATATAACCTATAACTTCTAGATTTAATTGTGGTGTAAACTTACCTCCCAGTCTTCTATAGATGAAGTTGTAAATATGTGAAGAATATGGCGCTCCTTTGGAGCTAATGATGAATCAAGAACAGTTGGAATACTTAGAAAGATACTCCCATAAGGCTCCTCCAATCTCGTCCAATCATCCTATAGAAGCAAAGAAGATGCAACACATTAACCAAACTTTTTATTAAATGCCTCAGCTGCATATAAAATGACGCTCAATTTCAAGGGTTGAGAGGCAAATTAGAAAAGAAGAATACCTCAAGGACAAAATGGTGGCAGTCTGTATCCAGTGGAAGAACCTCAGCTTTAACACCCATATGGATTGAAAGAAAAGAAGGAGCTTTAACATAAACTTTCTGAAAATTCTCTTCTTCTTTTGGAAGGTTTTCTCCTTTCAACAGCTTTCCTACAGCATTACAATTTACCATTACAACATGAAAGGAAAAGAAGATGCAATTATCAACTTGAGTAATACGATGGCAACCAGCTCCTTGCCAAAACTAACCAAATGTGTCCCATCTAGTAGCATTTGATATTATGGTTTGGGCGAAAAACTCCCTTCCGTCAGACAGCCTTACTCCGACCTGCAAAATTCAGTCTAAACTAACATAAACAGGGAATAATTATTGCTGCATGTAGAGTAGAACTACCAATCATATAGGGTTTGGCATCAATTAATTCAAAACCTTTATTGAAAATGAGGAGCTCACTTACAGCCTTGCCATTTTCAAGTAAAATCTTAGCGACATTTGACTTGTAAAGAATTTCACTACCCTGATCAATGAGGCCTTTTGCTAAGGACATTGCAATCCCACCAACACCACCAACAGGATAGTTAATTCCCCCAAAATGCCTGTCACAGAGAACCTGGAAGAAGCCATATTAGAAAGAAAAGAAAACTGCATAAAAGAAAGAGGCCAATAGCTACTTAGAAAGCTTACCATGCTTGCATTGATCATTGGTGTCTGTAAAGCATTAACTGTGCTCACAATGAAACACTGCAGAAAAGCTTCATTATTAGATAATTTTGCAATAATTTCTTTGTTTTTCTCAGGCTCTGTTATTATTTTTTCCTTTTTTTTCTTTTTTTTCCCTTTGTTGGTGATCGGGAATGACTTTTCACACCTCTGCATCTATGAAAGACAGTAACTGGGGATCCTTTATATACTTCCGAGCAATGTCTCCAGCATTTTGTGGCAGATAAAAGGCTGCAGGTAATAAAAGCATCACAATATGTGGGTTACAACCAAGACTTTCGCAGTTCATCGGCAAATAATAACTTCAAAAAGAGAAAGGTCAAAAGGCATGAAGGATTAACATTTAATGATGACGCAATCACATGTTTATAAAGATAAAAGATCAGCATTCAGGATAGTCTAAAAAATGGATATTAGAAAGGATAGGAGAGATTGAAGCCAAAAGTGGAAGCATTTTTTCTTTTTCTTATAAAAGAAAACCTCAGGCTTAAAATTTCACATAAAGCATTTAATCTATTACAATAGTTACCTAGTGTCAAGCATTCAAGAGGCTTCTGAAAGAACTGTCCAAAAAGGTATACAGGCTCCTCAAGTGACTTTAACTCTAACGAGTTCAAGGCATTGAAGATCTGCCAAAAACACTTCCAAGTTAGTAAAAACTGGAAATCATGGCTTAAAAATTAGTGGCCAAAAACCTTGAAGTAACAGTCAACCAAATCAGAACAGACCTTCCAACATTCACCATAGAATTTGAGGATTCCTTCCTTTTCATGTGGGAATTTACTGGTAAGTTCTGTGATAAATTCACTGTATTCTCTATGTACTCGAACAGAAAGGTTGTTGGGTAGATGGAAATGGACAGTTGTCGGGTCAGGTATCACCTCCATCTGACATCCTACTGCTGCCAAAGCTTGGGTTATCAAATTGAGATTTCCCTGCCAAGAGTTGAGATTTCAAATCACCTAAAGATGACTTCAACAAAACTAAAATGGAAAGTGATAGCAATTGAACATCTGAAGAATTAAGCATAAAGTAAGTACAAGAACCTGTATGCAGGTAGTTGTTATGTAATTGAACGTCTGAATAATTCTTCAACTTAGCCTACCAATGTTCAAGAATTAAGCATTTCTTTTGTTTTATTCTGATGGGAGAACTAAACATTCTTTACCTAGCAAAACATAGCAATTTCTAGATCCAATTCAGTTCTATAATGGTCAAGTACTGACTTGTTCTTTCATCATAAACCAGTCGACTATTCACTACTTACTGAATGTATGCCAAAAAACATCATTAACACTTTATCCATGCTTAGAATCATCACAACCTTAAACCCTTCCTCTCAAACTTCCAGCAAAAAATAAATTCATAATTCAAGGAACAAGCAAATTAGTGAAAATAAAAACTTACCTTTTCACTGAATCCAAACATCACAGAAGACCCTACATCAAAAGTGTATCCATCCCTCTCATAATACCCTGAACTTCCCCCAGGAATGACATACTTCTCCAGTACCAGAACCCGAGCTCCCTTGACTGCCAACTGCGTAGCCGCAACCAATCCTCCAATCCCTGATCCAATAACAATAGCATCATAGTTACTCTTCCTGCCGTCTCCTCTCTCCCCCTCAATCTCCGCCAAATTATCTACACTCAGCACGGATTTTAGCCTTGAAAGCAGACCCCTTTTCCTATGACCCACCTCACAATATCTCATTTTGGCACTACCAATCTCGTTACCATCAAAATTAGAGCTTTTCAACGGGCCCCTATAAGAAAACTTATCCCAATTCTGGGCATTAACCTGTTTAATACATGGAATTTTCTGTTTATGACTAAAACCACCCAACTTCCTCCTTCCAAAAGAGCTGGAAACAAGCTTTTGACAACCCCGATTCAAGGTTTTTGAAGAATCAAAAGACTGAGTATGACAAAATTTAGTATTTTGAGAATTGGGAATTGAGGTGATGAATTTGGGGATGAAGCCTGATTCAAGGGTGGAAAGTGAGTAGGAGAGAATCATTTTCTTTCTAATTTTCTTAAAGTTGCAGGCTTTTGGCAAGAAAGATAGTGGGGTTTTGTAGGGTTATAGATAGTTGGTTTAGAATTTAGAATTTAAGTGGGTGGATTGTGATGGATTCCCAACCATGATCCTTTGTTGTTAGAATGAGATGAGGACAGGGTGAGACAATGTTAGGAGCAAAAACAATGGCCTTTGTAGTCCACCTGGATTGCTGGGTTCTTTACTGGTAATTGGGTTTTGTAGTTCTGTCAGTGAGTAGAGATAGTGTCACCTGCGGGTTCTCAAGAAACTGGATTGGCATTACCAATTTTATTGAAAAACGATGTTTTGCCGTTCGGATAACCTAAAATTGTAAAACATTAGTAATAATCTCCTCCTATTATCACTTGTAGGACTCTTTTTTATTGTTATATTAAAAGTTAACTATTTGATATTACAAAAAACTTAAATCTTTAATTCGTTTGCTTGTATATTTAGATTAAAAAAATAAAAAAATTAAAAAAAAAGGAAAGAAAAAATTTTAATTAGTTAAAAATTATTTTTTTCTTCTTATTTCTCCCGTTCTAAACATATTATCAATTATCAAAGGCTCTTTTAATCTACCAATAATTCGTATTTTTTTTTTTATTACATCGAAGGGTTGGCACAATTTAAAAATAAAACAGAGTGTTTGAACGGTTATTTTCCAGTCCAAAGCCTTGTAGGCTGTGTTTGGTTGCTTGCTGCTCACTCTGCAAATTGCTTTCGGATTTTCCGTTGAGTTTATCCATCACTTCCTTCAGAATCCAACTTCCTTCACAAAAACCTCAAAGTCTCAACCCCTTGAATGTAATTTTTGAGAATTGAGATATTCTAAACAGTTGCCACTTCATGCCATGTACATTAAATCTTTTTTTTGAATCACAACAACCAAACATATCCTTGAAGTTTATTTAATAATAAATAGAAAGTTACTCTTTCTATTTCTTATCATGTGTTTTTAGTCTTTTTTTCATCAAGACAAAAAGAAAGTTTTTAATTAGGCCTAAAATAGAAAATTTTTTAATTACTATTGAATTTTGGGCTAACTAAGGTTAAAAAATTATTTTAAATTTTTATATTTATTTAAAGATTTATCTATAATATTATATATATATATATATTCACTTGTTTAACTAAACACGAGAGATGAAAGCTCAAAGCACTACTAATGTTGTTAGATTAAATAATTAGGTCATAATAACATTTAAGTAAGGATTTAATATGTAAAGAAACTATCTTAAATTTAAAAGATTAATCTTTTATATTCATAAATATTCACATATATAAATCTCTTATATTAACTCTCTATTTTCAATATAAAATTCTCTTTGATCATATATAAATATATAATATTACATAATATTATAATTATAACATTACCACAAATTATTTCTCCCAAAAAATTAAAATAAAGATAATTTGGAATAAAAGAAGAAATAATATTTAAAAAGTAACTGTTGAACCATCCGACCGGCGAGTCGGTCCGGTTCTCGCAACACGCCTCTCTTTCCCTTTGGCGTCACAAAAAAGCGCCAACGAATTTGGATCTGATTCTCTCGTTTCTGTTTTGCTCGTAGATAAAATTCCATCGTCTGATTTTCTGCAACATAGAAACGAAAGGTCACGAACTTCCCCCCTATCGCTTCCTCCCTCCTCACTCTCGCTTAGGTATACCTCTTCGCTTCCTTCATCTCCCTCTCCATATTCTTCTTTCTGCATCTCTTCAATTCCATCACAGGCGATTTTGAATTGATCGGGTACAGTTTTCCTTTTCTATGAATCTTTTCTTCTTCTTCTTCTTCTTCTTCTTCTTTTTCTTTTTCTTCCTTCCCTTTCCGATGATTCCATTTGTTTTACCTGTTCTTGTTTCGATTTCTCATTTGACAAATTATCTTCAGTTTATTGTAAATCTTAATTAAAGTTTTTAGGTGATTATTGTCATTTCTTTAGATTATCATCAGTTTCTTTCTTTATAAATGA